AAGGGAAGGGAAGGGAAGGGAAGGGAAGGGAAGGGAAGGGAAGGGAAGGGAAGGGGGCAGTAGTGGGGTTTGCCAGAGGCTGTGTGCTCGTGTGCCCCAGCTCAGCAGACACTCCCATTACCCACATGAGCCCTGACAGACCTTCAGCTGCAGGATGCTCTGGTTTGATACCTTGGGGAAGGCTCTGCAGCAAGTGGAGGGGTTTGGAGGACTGTTGTCCCACAGGACATTGCTTTGACAATGGCAGCAGTGGGAAAAGGGGACAGGAGGGTGACTGGAGAGGCAGAAGCCTCTTCCCCCAGTCCTGTCCTGCAGCTCTTACCATTCAATGCTCAGAGACCTGGGCCGGAAGGCAGACAGCTCGGCCGAGCCATACTCAGCTTTCCTTCTCTTCTCCTGCTTCTGCTTCACCGACAAGCGGTGGGCAAACCTAGCGAGGCTGCTCTCCGACCTGGGGAGGGGAGAGGAAAGGTGTTAATGGCACTTCAGCCCTGGCTCCAGTGGCACACCCAGGGCACAACGCCAGGAGGTGCTCGGTGCTGAAAGGAGGGTGCTCCCAGCCGTGGCACCAGTGCTGGGGGTGGGAAGTGGAAGAGCAGCAGCAGGTTTGGTATTGCTCAGCAGGACCAGCACAGGTCCATGTCAGCCAAACTGGAGCTGCAGCCTGGCGGGCTGAGAGAGCCAGGTTCTGCTCCCTGTGCAGCAAAATCACCTCCCCAGGCTCCAACTGGTGACAGCCAACACTGGAGAAACAGCCAGGGACACGTCGGTGGACAGAACCAAAGCAGACTGAATCAAAGGCCACATACACCTTCTGAGAAACTCTGGAGCTCCTGTGGCCTCCCAGCTGGAGCTTCCAAACACCAGAACAGCTTCCCTGAGGAGGACTGACATGGAAATCATGACATGGGAGAGGTTTTGGAAGAGGAAACAGAAATGTGTGAGAGCAAATTCAACTGAAGGACCCATCTGTGCTGACAAAACCCCTTCCCAGCAGGTGGGGTGCTCCAGTGTTGCTCCCAGCCCCTGAGACAAGCACATCCGCAGGCTCCAGGACCGTGCTGCACATTCCAATCCATCCCAGCCCTGTCCAGGGGAGAGCTGCTGGCACAGGGCACACCTGCCCTGTCTCCACACCCAGTGGCACACAGGCACACAGGCTGAGATTGGCTGAGGAGGCACAGAGACCCTCAGCAGTCTGCCTCCCTCTGGCATGCAGAACCCCCAGAGATCCTGTGCCGAGGGTGGCACCCCCAGCCTGGGGCTGAACACGCCACCACAGCCTGGCCCTGCTGCAGGAGCAAGGGAGGACAAGCCTGGAGAGCTGGGACACCCAGACTTGGGCACATGACCAGGCACTGAGGCTGTGTGCCAGCCCTGCCACACACTCAGAAGTATCACATCCACTGCCTCCTGTCCTCCTTTAATGTGCCAGCACAACCTGCTCCCAACGCTCAGCCAGCACCAGGCTGGGCAGCAAAGGAGACAGGAGTGATTTGACAGAGTTCTCAGGGGGATGAGGGACAGAGTTGGGGGGAACTTTGAACCTACACACATTGCTAAAGCAAATCCTCCTCCTCTCCTCTCCTCTCCTCTCCTCTCCTCTCCCTCAACCAAACAAAATACCTCCAAAGAATGAGAGAAAATCTGTTTCTCAGAACTGAGAGCTCCCTGCCTTTCCTCACAGTAATTAGGCCAGCACCAACCAGCTAACAGTTTTTTCCCAATACATTTTAAACACAGACATCTTAAATTCATTAACTGGTTATTGATTTATTTTTCAGCTTATGAATTGCTGTTGCTGGGGATGGGGTGGAGACAGCTTTCTGGAGAGGGCTCTTGTCTCTCCAGTCGCCAGCAAAGAGTTGTTCAGACCTTCCAGGGTCATTCTTTACATTCTTGAGAAAAAATCCTACTTTGATGTAAAGGATGAGGTTTGCCTTAAAAGAAACCCAACAAGAAACCCAAACCCCAGCTTTCCCCCACTCACAGCCGGAGGAAGAGGCATGATCCTGATGCCCGTAGAGCAGAGCCTGGCACCAACACCATCCCCACCACCTCACTCTCCTTTGGTCTGGTGTCAAAGCTCAGCTGGAATGGAGAAGATCCCATTTAGGCAGGGGTGAGAGGTGGGCATTGACAGTGCTCTGCAGCAGCCCCAGGCATGGTGTGGACACCAGGATGAGCAGGGCTGACCCAGGAATGGGGCTGGGCAGTGGGAACAGGTGCTGCTAGTTGCTGTAGCACCTCCTCTGTGGTATTTGGTAGTTCCTGCCTCTTCCCACCTGCCCAGGAGGAGCTCCTGCCACCCTGCAGGGATGAGGGCTCCAGCCCCATCTGAAAGGACACTGGGGGTGCTTATCTCCTGAGATCTGGGGACTGCCTGGAGAATCCTGCCCTGCCATTACAGCCACCCCTCCCAAACGTCCCCAGCAGGGAAGAGGGGCTGGGAAATCCTAGATGCCCTGCACAGATGCAGGAAGGCAGCAGCCCCTGTGACAAGTGCCCCTATGGTGATGGTACATGCTCCTTTCAATATCCACCACGGTGACAATTACACACCTAGGAGCTTTACCTGGATGTATCCACCTGCCCAAGCATGGCAGGAGCAGCCACTGCAGATTGGATGAAGCCAACATCATCTGTCAAGAAGAGCTGGTGGGCGAAAACAGGGCAATGTGCCACATATCATCAGGATTAGGAATGAAGGAGAGTTAGTCCTGGGGGCAGAATGGGCTGGTGGGGCTAGAGAAGCTACCTTGGTGCTCAGGAATATGTGGCTTTGCTGTGAGTCATGGCATCAAGGGGAAGGCACGGGGAGACAGGGGATGGATGCTCTCCAGCCCAGGGCAGGTGCTGCCCAGATCTGCCTGATGCAGGACAGACAAGCTAGTCCACGTACGAGTCAGAAGTTGACCAAAAATCCTGGGGCGCTGATTTCAGCCCCCAGACCTACCAGCCACCACCTCCAGCTGCTACAGCCCAGGTAAAGGAATGGCTGTGACAGCCCAACACCTCCCCCCTGAGAGCTGCCAGCAACTCATCCAGCCATGAACCAGCCTCCCTCACCTCTGCCAGACCCCAAAGCTTCAGCAGAAGCATCACTAATTAGAAGCCAGGAGCACATTACAGATCATCTGGCAATTTTTACAGAGCTGCTTTACATAAACCGTGCTGCAGAAGGGGGAATGAATCATACCTGAGCGCAGCCGAGCCGCTGCCCCTCGCCCCAGCAGGGCCCTGCTGCTGCTGGCTCAGCTCCTCTGAGCTCCTGTGCTGAGCTGCTCCGGTCCCCTGGGCTCAGAGTGCTCCCACAGCACTGGGTATTGTGCTGGGTCTGGGCTCTGTGGGTGGCAGTGGGGGTGAGCCTCTAGCACAGGGACGGGGATGCTGTTGAGACCACACTGTTACTTCCCAAGTGCTTTCCAAACAATAATAGATGTCCCTGTCCCTTAAGAAGGATCAATGTTAGGGATTTTGAGGTAGAAGCAGGGAAACAGACACAGAGGACACGCAGGTAAGACACTCCCTGTGGTTGCCAGCATCCTTCCCCTTGTGTGCTTATCTGATGGGCAAGATTTCAGCGTCTTCTCCCACCAGGACCACACACTCAGCCCCACAAGTGCTGGTCTGGAGAATAGGCAGTCCCAGTGCCACTGTCATCTTGAGCCAGCTTCATCCCAGCCATGGCACGGAGCCGAGGCCAGCACTGCTCCCCCAGCCCTGCCACTGCACGGTGCTGCCCCAGGCCCACCCGGGCAGGATCCAGGCTCACCTGCCCAGCCTCCATCAGAGGCAGCATCTCTGCAGCAGCTCAGCACCAGAGCAGTCAGGGCTTGCACAGCTGCACCTGCTGAGGCAGTCCCCACACAGCAAGGTGACACGTGGGAAAAGCCATCAATTGGAGCATCAACTGCAGCACTGGAAGAATTGTCTCCTGACAACCAGAGGAGGTTGTTCAGCTACTGTGCTGTATCATAAATCACACCTCTATGACTTGCCATCTGTCAGCCAGATTACACGTGTTCAGAGTCCCATGTCAGCATTTAAGTCAGAACACGGCATCTTTTCCCAGAAATAATTATCAGTGCTGAAGGCTCTTGCAGCGATATCCGTCCTCAGCCCTTCCCTCCAAAGGTCTGGACAGAACAGGGCTGGCATTCCCAGAGGGCAGGACCACCACTGTGGCACAGCCATGCACAGCCTCCATGTGCCATGTCCCCCCTAAGCCCACTGCTTCAGGCACGGGGAGGGGTAGGGTCTGGCATGGCAAACTCCCCCCTGGCATCAGCCATGGCACCCAGCACCCTGAACAGGAACAGGCAGAGGCTGCTGCTCAGTGGAGACAGGGACAGTACTGAGAGCCCGGGAGCATCCAGCCAGGATGAGCAGAGTGCCCAGAGCAGCCCTTGGAACCCAGCCTGGCCAAGGAGGAAGAGTCCAGCTAAGCACAGGGCACAGCTCCCGCTGCCCCAATGCACTGTGTGACACCAATCTGTTCCCACGCCTTCACCCCACGGGTTTTCTGGGAGCCCAACCCCACAGGGCTGACCGATAAAGCCCCCAGCCTGCCAAGGCAGTGGGAAGGCAGGCAGAGCATGAACACGGTGGGCTGGCAGCCTGTCCCCATCCTGCCTGTGCCTCCGGCAGCTCACTGAGCCGGCACTAGACACGGCACCCCAGCTCACAAATCCCTCAGCTGCCCTGGGATGAGGACAAGGGGCTGAAGCGCCTCCCTCCACCCCCTCGCTGGCCGGGCAGGCGGATGAGCAGTGACATTTCCCAAAGCTCAGTACAGAAATACACGGGCACGGAATTCATCCCTCCGGCTTCACCCGCCACACACAGGCGTGAATCCGGCCGGGGGTTCGCAGTCACCACCACATTCCCCACACCACAACTGGGAAGTGATGACAAGCAAAATCCTGATCCCTCGGCTCCGCATCCCTCCCTCCCTCCCGCGTAGTGATCCGCTAAAAGCCTTTTGGCAGTCTGCAGCCGCCGGGGTGAGCCCGCAGGAGCCGGGGTGCCTCAGCCCCTGCTGGCACAGCACCACTCTGCCATGGCCAGAGCCGCAGGGAAAGCAGGAGCCACCAGGCACAGCTGCACCGAGCTGTGAGGTGAGGGATGAGCGAGGCCACGAGTGCCAGCCCAGACACCGGCACAGGATGACCAGCACCAGCAACACCTCTGCTCCACCAACACACCCAGCAAAAACCCTCACGGCACACATGGCACACCAGCCATCCATCCCACAAGGTATCACATCCAGGCAGGAAAACCTCCCACTTGTTGCACACTCCTTAGTGTGAGACTCGGGAGCCAGCACGTGCCTGTGGCTCTGAACTAACCCAGATGTGGGCAGGGAGCTCACAGCCCCTTCCATCAGCACAGGCAACAGTCCCGGGATGAGCCATGGGCTGCAGGCACCCCAGGCAAACAAGCAGTGCT